CGAACCGGCGACCTTCCGGTTACAGATGCGCTTCCTAACCCCCTGAGCCACGGTCGCCCCGACCTTGGAAACCTAAACCAAGGTAGCAATCAAAATAAGCCGGGGAAGATACCTGAAACCCAGGCATAAGATGATTGAAATAAGCTAGACAGGACAACACTGGTATGAGAAAATCAAAATAAACCAGGCAAGGAAGGAAGCTGATAATAAACACGTCAGAACAACACAGAACCAAGCATTAAGCATTGTTCCCCTCATTAAGCCCATGATTTGATTTGTCCAGATGTGTAGGCAGATGTTTAGTGTTAACTATTGATTAAATGGGAGGTCTTGGAGCGAGTATTGAAAAAAATTACTTCTTGCAGAAGTAACTGTGTAAAGTGACTGACAGGAAGTACAATTTCATCCAATAATGCATCCAATTGCATCAGCCTCTGACGAGACTCTAAAGATGTAAAGCCTCCGAGAGTAGCTCTACATGCTTTACATCCACATGTAAGACTATCATACACTTACTTGCAGTCTGAAGGCACATCAGTGAAGACACGGAGCAGGAAGTCACCCTGCTGCCCGGGGTCAAAGGTTGTGGGAATGATGACGTAGCGGCCCTCTTTCAGCTCCTTCCTGAGGAAGACGCAGCGTGAGTTGATGTAGATGGAACCTGCTACTTTCTGCTGGGCTGTGTGCATACGGTACTTCCGATTTAGCTCCACCTGTGAAGGAGAAGATCCAGATCTATCACAGGTTTACTTCCTGGTTCCGCTTTGTGAAGATTTCTCGGTTACGTGTGGGTGTTTCTACCCTGTGGATATCGAAGCCTATTGCGAGATTTTCTGATTTGCCCTCTTTTGGTGTGGCTCTCTTCTCTTTTTGCTGTAAGCAGATCAGCACCTCATCCTCCACCTTCTTCACATCAAACACATACTAGGAGGAGAAAAAGAGGACGGTGCATCACAGTCCAGCACTGATCACACAGTTCTTAAAGACAAAACCACGACATGTACCGACCTGAGGGTTCTGCAGGAAGGTGGCTTTGTGATTGATGCAGCCTCCGGATCGGTTGCGTAGGGGATCCTGCCGGTGGACCCAGGAGCCCCTCATCACCTCCTCCTCCCAGGTCTTGTGGATGCTCAGGTAGGAGGTGTTGATGAGGCGGCACAGGATCAGGTCAGTGAAGTACTGGCAGAAGTCATCAAATGTCATCCTGCAGGAGGGCAGCAGGAAAAGAGGAGAGAAGAGAGCAGAGAGAGTGGATACCAACTAGAGGAAAAAGCTTGAAAGAAGAAGATCTTGAACAGGTACAAAAGCAGAGGAAACAAAACCAGGAGCAAAGCAAATGGTTAGGATGTACATAGCTGAGATAAAATGAGCCTAAAGTTTGAGTGCCGAGGGCTTCTGAAGAAGAACTGCATCATTTTATTTGACACGATGAAGATAACCTTCTTAATCTTATTTCTAATTTGACCTCTTTCTTTAGTGATACATGCAACAAAGCAACAAAGTAATAAATAAACTAATAAATGAGCTTAAGCCAGGTTAGCTTATACTCTTGATGCTTGGCTAAACTACCCACCTGTGGGTGAGATACAGAAATTAATTAGTTTCACTGTAAGAGCTATTCATATATCAGAGGTGATTTGAAGGCCTTATTCATGTCTCTGCCATCCCCTCATCATTCTGAGGTTGGTGCCAAAGAAAAGGACAACACAGAAATGCGTATACTTTTAGACCATGTTTAATTGCTTAATTATCTTTATGCGGTTCATTTACATCACAAGGAATTAATCAATAAAATACAGGAAGAAGTATGTTTCACATTCTAGTCTTCCCAGAACAGCAGTTCTGAAGTTCAACCCCTGAAACAGATACATTTCACATTGGTCCTAACCTTGGGTTTGTCAAAAATATAATGTCCTTAGTATGAGCATCTACCTTTGTAACAGCAGACATGACAGGCCATCTGCTTTAGCTTTGGATCAAAACATCAAAAATCTCAGCAGGAAGTAAAATAAGCTCAAAATGTCAAACTGTTCCTGCGGCCCAAACATCAGTGCCTGAAAATAAAAGTGCTGTAGCCTTTTTTTAATGTAACAAAATGACTGTGGGTGTATTTTTTTCAGGCTCTCACCAGAACTCGCCGTCGTCCTGTACGGTGACGCCCAGCTTTTCTCTCTCACTCTTGCTCACCTTGTTCCACTCCTCCGAACTGCAGGGAGCAAAAACAAAAGAGCAAACAGGCTTTTATGTGAAATGAGCTTTTGTTAGAGGTAGACGTTAATTTTGTTGTATAAGTGTGTCAGATTTTAGTAAAAGGCCTCACTGTTTCATGACCTGAACCCATTTGGACCTGCTCTGGGTGACGTCTGTAGTTGACACGTTATCTTCTGTCTCATGTGTTGGTTTTACACAACCCCTGCAACAGATCCCGGGGGGCTCAGGTGCTGCACATGGAGGGGGGATCCTTGAGCATTATCTTTTTGAGCTCATCATTCGTGACAGCTAATTTCCCCTGCTCATCATCAATTTATTTCCTCTGTGACGGCAGCACACATTACAGGAGCCTTCACAACCTCTTGCTGGTTAAACGGCACAAACGAAACACCTTTAAGCCTCTAAAAGACCAACTATAAATGGACCATTGGGCGAGCAAAAATCAAGCCTACAAATGAGACCTCAAAAAATAATGTCTGAACACGTAATTATACTTTCAAGTAACCAACATCCAAGATTGTTTTACTGTTCTCATTCAGCTTAGGTGCTGCACAGAGCCAACTGCTCCCTGTTGGAGTCTAGTATGACACTGCATTCGTAGTGTGGAGATGAAAGCCCACGTCTACCTGTCAGAGCTGCTACTATCAGCAGGGGGAAGTGCCAGAAATATGTACAACAATCAGTGGGAAGACAGAAGTCGACATCCATAAAGAACTTCTTTGTAACGAAATGAAAATTGTCCCCTGCAAATGCTTCTTAAGCACGCTTTATTGATCATCCCTTTCCTGGTCGAGTCAGCATTTGACTTACATAAACCATGTTGTGGTTAATACTGTGGTTAATCACCCCAAAAGAGCACTTTGCTCTCAGACTGTAGGCTTACTTGTGGTTGCTAGGATATTTAAAAGTAGAATGGGAGGCGGAGCAATCAGGTTTCAGGCCTGTCTTCTGTGGAACCAGCTCAAAGTTTGGATTCGGGAGACAGGCGCCTTGTCTACTTTTAAGATTAGGCTAAAAACATTTGTCGTTAGGGCTTAATCAAGTGTATCTGAATCCTCTTTTAGTTAACAGGCCTATTAACTAGGACTGTTTCTTCTTCACGCTTGTCTTCTCCATCACCCGTGTTTAGACATTTCTCTGTATTTAATCATTAGTTATTATTAAACTCTGGCTTTCTTCTTGCCCATAGGGGGTCGTCTAATTGTTGGGGTTTTCTCTGTATTACTGACTTTACCTTACAATATAAAGCAACTCGAGGTGACTGTTGCTGTGATTCAGCGTTACATACTGTAAATAAAACTGAACAGATCTACTCATCCCTGCGTTACCATACTGTTTTATAAATCCTGCCCAAGTCTTTAATTGTGAGGAAAAACCTGCAATCTGTTGCTTCAAACATGTCTTTGTCACTCGAAATATTTCAATTTTTATTTTCTGCACCTTTCAGTGCAAAATTTCCTTTCATAGCTAACCTTAAGTTACCCTCAGAGTACTGCAAATAATCCCTAAGGGTAATAGTAAACACATTTACACAAGATTAGCAGATTTAAGCCATACAACTTTAATTTAAGATGCGTACAGTCATACTAATAAAATAATATACATCTGCCTGCTATGAAAATGGTGGGACCTCAAATATGGGGAAGAGGAAAAACATTTAAATTATTAATAGAATATTATAAATATTAATTGCAAGACTTATAACGACCACAGCTATAAAGTTTATTTCTGAGTAGCTGTATCGAGTTCAGACAAATGAATCGCGCGCGCGTCTCTCCCTCCTGAGCTCTATTTTACAGCACCAGTCGTGGTATTTATTACCGTGTGAATCATACCTGCACATCAAGGTTTCCTCTGTATTCAGTGCTCAGGGGAAACACAGGTGTTTTACTGGATGCATTAGCTCTGTGTTTATGTCTCTGTTTATGACGCCCTGACAAACGTCCAGCGGTCTGTCAGCCTCCATTTACAGTAACGGGTTTTTATCAAACCATGAATGAATTATTCAGCGACAGTGAGTGAATGATGAGGGATGACTCACGTCTCTTTAATAACAGCTGTCTCTCTTTCAGCCTTATCAATAATTCAGAGTCTGTTATTATCCGACTTTACCGGCTCCCTGTTTGTTTCACCGAATTTGCCCGTTCACGATTCAAAGACAGAGACGAGGAGGGAGCACATTTATTTTTCCGTTTTACCCACTCCTGAGCTGAAACATTTTTCTCGAGGACGTCTGAGCTGCTTTCATAAACAAGCGGCTCTCCGACTGGGCTGAATTTAGCCGTTCTTCTTTGCTCTGCGGCCCATTAGCTTGATTGCATTTCCATTTTTCATTGTCTACATGACATTTCCCATTGTCCTCCTCTTTTCTCTGTGTCCTGGACCTTATGTATGGATTGCTTTCTGTTCGGTCGTTTGGCATTTAATCATTCGTCATGTTACGTCTCTTAGAAACCTTGTGAGTCAAATTCTGAGGGACTGGCGCACTTTGACATTTTCAATTTATGTAATTGGTTAAATTGATCGTGACACGGTCACGTATCCTATTACGGGCAAAATACATTGTTTTGGGAATGCTCCACATCTGACTCACAGAGGTAAGATGTCTGCTACGAGTAATGATAGATGAAGACAGCTCAATTACCTTTAACAGGGTAGGATTTGAGACTGAGGAGCTTCAGTAGTTTATCTTCCTGCCTGCAGGTGGCAGTGTTGTGATTACCTGTCACTCCAAGGGCCACTCCACTCCTTCTCCCCCCAAGGGTTCCTCATGCGGATCATGTGCAGCTTCTCCGACTTGAAGAAGGCCAGCAGTCCGTGACCTAGCCGCACCTTCCGTACATCTGTCACGGCGTAGGCGTGGCCTTTGACCAAACCGCAGTCCAGCCGCGCCTCCATGTCTTCTATTGTGGTCGCCTGGAAAGCAGAAAACACAGATGCCTCTGTCAGTCTAGACAAAAGAAAAGAATGCTAACAAACAAAGCTAACACACAAAAGCAGTTCCTCTGGTGGCCACTTGAGGCAGTCTACAAAACTATTTAAGGGACCTCTTAAATGTGTGTTTGTGCTGTTGTTCCTTTAAAGTCTTTTTAAAGGAATTCTCACTAGTATTATCCCATCCCTGAGGTTTGTGCTTCAGTTTTTGTTAGTTAAAAATGTATTTTTTAGTATTTAATAGTCTGTTAATTAGAACTAATTATCAGCAGTGGTGATAAACAGGGTGATAGAAGAGGTCAGGCAGGAGTATCTGTGGACTACGATGTTTGCAGATGACACTGTGATCTGTGGTGAGAGGAGGGAGCAGGTGGAAGACAGCTTGTTGAGGTGGAGGTATGCACAAGAGTGAAGAGTATGAAAGTACGTAGAAGCAGGTTTGAAAGTTGAAGATGCAAGGAATAGAGAGATTTTAAATACCATCCAAAACAACAGACAGTGCACCAGAGAGGTGAAGAAGAGAGCCGAGGCAGGGTGGAGTGGGTGAAGATGATTGTCATGGGGGATTTGTGGCAAAAGAAGAAAGGACGGTTTGCACATACATAGGGCTGGTGTCACAGATGAGCAGGGTAGAAATAGGACAGGGTGAGATGGAGGCAGATGATCTGTTGTTGTGACCCCTAAATGAGGCAGCCGAAAATATTTAGCAGATGTGTGTGTGTGTGTGTGTGTTCCACCTGTATAGTTTATGAATGCAGCTTTGTTAAATGCTAGGTGGTGTTAGCTGATTTATAAGCTTCTGGCTCTAAACCCCCCCCCATCATGGTGGCAGACAAAATGCTAACGCTGGATAAGATAAGATAAGATAACCTTTATTAGTCCCACACGTGGGAAATTTGTTTTGTCACAGCAGGAAGTAAATGGTAAATGGTAAATGGCCTGCATTTGTATAGCGCTTTTCTAGTCCCTAAGGA